GCGGCGCAGATGCGTAATATACGCGGGTGAAACCGCGGGTCACGGCTATATGAAATATTTTCAAAACAAAAAAAAATTAAAAAAAATTGTGTCTGTTTTTCTGTTTGTACCGGCTAATCTCCGAATTATGTCAGGACTTTCATTGGCAGTTAGCTGATGTTTGAGGAGTAACTTAGTCTACTTTCATTTTAGAAAAAGAATTTAGGTCTTGCGCAAGAAAATCAAATCCATGAAATTCAATTGTAATAAATTTAACGCGGGGAACAGCTAGTCTAATATAATTAAGTATAATATATTGTAAAATACTGTTAAATCTTTTTTTATCATATGTAACAAAGTAGTCTAAAATATTGAGTAACGGTCACTAACTAATTACGAAGCAAGAATGCTGTAGTTATCTTGTCAATTGGTTGTAGAGCGCTAACTCCTACTATGCATTATGCGTTCATTAACATTAATCAGTTACGCTTACGAGATAATAAATGAACATGAACGATATTTCTTTTTTGCACCAAATAGGTAATCCTTGTAGCTCAAACTAAGTTGTACTCGATTTAAAATTATAGTGCCTTGTTTATATGAATCAATCATTTACCACTAATAAAAAAGGTTTTATAACAGGTGTCAATAACAGTTTGTGATACTCTCCTAACAGGGACGCTAAATCAGCTATACAGGATAGGTGTCCAGTTGTACATGTCTTCAAAAATAAACTTCATAAACTTTGATAAAAAAAACTATGAGGACTGCCTACGACTCTTTGCAGGCGTTTTACTAATGGTTATATGCCACTAAAACCATTTGTACTACAGAATACAGATAAGAAGTTACAACTTCACCAACAAGTAACAGTTGATAGCGCGACAAGGTTAAAGCACAGGTTCTCATAAGCGCCGGCTGGATTATTTTCAGGGAGACGCATCTGTGCACCTATATATACTAATAACTGCATCGTTGGTCTAGTGGTTGTAGTAGTGCGACTGCTGATCATGAGGTCCTGGGTTAGAATTCCGAAAAATAAATTAGTGAGTTTTTCCGTCAAGAAATTCTCAGTAGCTGCCCGTTGGCGGTGTCTCACCCCCGTGCCTCGGGAAGCACGTAAAGCCGTTGGTCCTGCGCCTGATCTCTCTCCGGTCGTGTCGGTTTACCGCTCCATCGGATTATGAGAGTGAGGAAATAGAGAGTGCACCTGTGATTGCGCGTACACTTAGGCATTATAATCCTGACCTGCGCCGATGGCTAGTCTCCTTTGAGGCTGGCCGCCGTGACCGAAATTCGGTCTGGAGGACATTATTATTATTATTATTTTTGTATTTTTTTCTCCCTTTGTATTGAGGAGTAGAAAACGGACACACGGGTCTTGACCAAGTGTGCACGCAGGAAAAAATGAAAGAATTACAATGATGACGGTGATGAGTTAAGAAATTTACGAGTAAGACGACAGGTGTTAAGTAAGACTGCCTTTTGTATAATTTTAAGACTGGATTTTAGGCATTTGAAGCATGTTAAGGCTGGTTTGAAGGGTCTTTGGAACTACACCAGTTGTAGATATGATGATAGGAACTATTTTTACGGAGTCTACTTGCTATTGCCTTTTTATTTCGATAGCCCGGTCTACATACTTTGTAATTTTTTCCGAATGTGTAGTAATGAGGTTGTGTGTGTGTTGCAAACTGCTATGTCTATTATAAAAACAGATTTTTTAATTTTGTCTAGTATTGTTATGTCCGGTCTATTGTAATGTATAGTCTTGTCTGTTATAATTGTCCTGTCCCAATATATTTTGACGGAATTACTTTCTAAAATAGTGCTGGGAATATATTTTTAATAAGCGACCTTTTTTAAAAATGAATGAATGTTTGTGGGCCAGGTTTTGGTGGACTATTGCAGCAACTTGGTCATGTCTATGTTTGTAGTCAGTTTGAACTATAGATTTACATGCACCTGTAATATGTTGAATTGTTTCTAAGATACTGTGACATCTTCTACATAAGTCAGTTGGAGGGCTGGGAATATGAATCATGTGTTTTTGATAGTTACGAGTATCTATTACTTGGTCCTGAATAGCAATTACAAAAGCCTCCGTCTCTGGGAAGAGTTCTCCGCGTCGGAGCCACTAGTTTGACGCTTGCCTGTGAACATGTGCTTGACCGAGATCGGCAAGGTGCCTACCATGCAGAGACTTTTGTGACCACAAATCTATTTTCTGCTGTTTACTTATCTTGAGCTGAAAATTTCTGTCATTTAGAGTAAGAGGAGTTAGTTTTTTTGTCTATACCTACAATATATTTGTGCAGTTGCGGATGTTCAGATTTTACAAAGAAATATTTGCGAAATTTGTCTATTAGATTGTTGTGTAAATTTTGTATATCGATGATACCTCTCCCTCCACCTTGGCGTGGTAATGTGAGACGCTGTGTACATGATCTGGGGTGGTATTTTCTGTTTACTGTCATATGTGTATTAATTGTGCGTTGAAGTTTAACTAAATCACTCTGAGACCAATTTATTATTCCAAAAGAATAGATGAGAATGGGTATCACGCAGGTATTTATGACTTTTATAATATTGCGTGAATTTAGCTGAGTTCTTAATATTTGGTTTATTCTAATTTTAAGTTTTTTAGTTAAGTCTATTTTTGCTTGTTTTTGATGTATCTTATTATTATTATTATGTGTGGGGTATCTATATAGTTTTCTCATCTGGTTGGGATGTATAAATATATAATTATAAACCAAAATGAAAAGATAAACATACAAAAATATCAATAAAATAAAATAAATATGAAAATACATAAATAAATAAAAGCCCAACCAGATGGAAGCCCTCGGCAGGGGAGACCAAACGGCCGAGGGTTAGGGGGAAAGGGAAAGAAACCGGCGGACGATGCGGGCGGTATCGAGGAGCACCGCCTTCTGCATTTGAGCCTGGAGCGGTCCGCCACGTAGTCCCAGCCGCCTCAGATGACCCGAGAGGCTAACTGGGATTAGCCCGTTTGCAGAGACGACTACAGGAATAATTTCGGTCGGCAGACCACCCCACATGTCGGTCATCTCGTGAGCCAGGTCCAGATATTTTGTTTGCTTATCTGTTTCGGCTTTCACGAGGTTCTCGTCACACGGAATGGTAATGTCGACCAAAAATATCCTTGACTGTGCCCGGTCCATCAGCACAATATCAGGCTTATTCGCAAGAATAGTCCTGTCTGTGATGATGGCCCGGTCCCAATAGAGCCTGGCGCGATCATTTTCGAGCACGGCTTCCGGCAAGTACTTGTAATACGGCAACTTCCGATCCACGAAACCGTATTTCAGAGCGAGCTCCTGGTGTAGAATTCTGGCTACTAGGTTGTGCCTGTGCAAGTACTCAGAGTTAGAAAGCGCCGAACAACCGGAGATGACATGCCTAAGTGACTCACCGGGATGGCGACAAGCTCGACAGATGTCGATGGTGCCATCCTTTAGGATGTATCTCCGATAGTTGTTGGTCTTAATAACCTGATCCTGTATTGCACAGACAAAACCCTCGGTTTCCCCGAAGAGGTCACCAAAGCGTAGCCAGTGGAGAGAGGTTACTGTGTCTACGAAAGGCCCATGTAGAGACTTGTAGAACCTCCCGTGGAGCTCCTTCTCCTTCCATACGGTCTCCCGGTCGGAAATTGTCTGCACTGCCGGGTCTTGCCATTGCTCGTTGGCTAAGGATAGAGGGGTAAGTCCTTTATCACAAGAAATGACGTCCTTATAGAATGGATCATCCGATCTCGCCAGGAAGTAATTACGGAGGCTGCACACTTCGCGATTATGCATGGTGAGCGCGCTCAAGAAGCCACGCCCACCATGCTTTCGCGGCAAGTACAGCCTCATTACCGACGATCTCGGATGATGCATCCTGTGGGACGTCATGGTAGTGCGGACTTTTCTATCCAGGGCGTTAAGTTCAGTCTGAGTCCACCTGAGTATGCCAAAGGTATACATGAGGACAGGTATGACCCAGCCGTTATATGCTTGTGTCTTATTCACACCGGACAAAAGGCTGTTAAGCACTTTGGTCAAGCGTGCATAAAACACGTCGCAAACTGACTGTTTCATACCAGCCTCATCGATACCAATGTTCTGTGACATACCCAGGTATCGGTATGTTTCAGCCTCGGAAAGGGTCCTTAAGTTGACGGGCATAGATAAGTCTATGCCCTCAGAGTTAGCAACCCTACCCCTCTCAACATGGAGGACCGCACACTTATCCGTCCCCAGCTCCATTCCAATGGAATTGCTAAATTCACAAGTGATGTTTAGCAGTTCCATAAGATGGGAGCGACTGGAGGCGAATAACTTGAGGTCATCCATATAGAAAAGGTGGGTCACTTTTGTCCCTCCTTTCCGTAGCTGAAATCCCCTCCCGGAGCCCTCCAGTAAGGTACTGAGAGGGTTCAGAGAGAGGCAGAACCATATTGGACTCAGACAATCGCCCTGGAAGGTACCCCTTCTTATCCTTATGTGGTTCTCCGCAGCCATCATCCGCTCGCCCAGATGACAAAGGATCGTACTCCACTGCCCCATACACTGCTCGAGGAAGTCTCTAACTGTACAGTCTATCTTGTACAGTTCGAGGACTCTCTTTAGCCATGTATGGGGCACCGAGTCGAATGCCTTTCTGTAGTCTATCCAGGCGGCGGAGAAGTTCCGACGGTTGTGTTTCACCACTTTGCCAATGACCGCGTCAATGAGGAGTGGTTCCTTGGTTCCACGACCGCTGCCCCGACATCCATTTTGAGCGCGCGACATCACCTGATTTGAATCCAGGTGACGAGTGATTCTCGCGCTCAAAATGGATGTTAGTGTCTTATATATGGTCGGTAGACATGTGATGGGACGGTATTTGCTCGGGTCTGTGGTACTCTGGCCTTTAGGAACCAAATGGGTGATCCCAGTAGTGAAGAGGCTCGGGAGCGACTTCTGGTTGAGAACCTCTTGAAACTGTCGGGCGAGCACAGTGTGACACACCACGAACCCCTTCAGCCAGTAGTGATGCAGCCCGTCGAGTCCCGGACTTTTCCAGTTCGGGGCCCTACGGACCGCCTCAGCTACGTCATCCGGCGTTATGGTGACGGGGTCCATGGGCGTAATACCCGCACACTGACTCGCCACAACTTCCGTCCAAGGGCCCTCGTTGTGGTTTACGGGCTCTGACCACAGGCTGCGCCAGAATGCGACCGTGTCGGCCTGATTCGGTACTGGGCCCGTTCCACTTACCATTGGTCGCTCCAATGATTTATAGAGCCTCTTCTGATCACTCTGGAAGAGACGATTCTGGTTGAACCGTGTCGACCTCTCGGTATATCGCCGAATTCGCTTTCCCCAAGCAGCGATTCTCTGCTTCAGGTCGTCTATGCGCTCCGTCAGTTTTTGCATTATATCCGGCTGGGACAAACTAACATTTGTCCCAGCAAACGCCATCCTGACGGTGCGCACAATCCTTGGCCTGGTATTGCCTGACCTGAAGCATATCAGTCTGCCGATGAGGGCCCTAGCCTTTGCGATACGTTCTTCAATTCTTGTTCTCCAGGCTGGGATAGCACTACTTTGTCCAGTAGTGCGTCCAGCCGTGGAAAGTTTGGCGCCTATAATACGGCAGACTGCCAGTGCGGCGCCAAAGAGAATTGAGTCCGTCTCGCAAAGGTCCCGGCTGGCTTCCAAATAGGTCACCAGCATTGGGTTCAGAGCCCTCACGACAGCCCGATTCCGCTTGCTTAGGGCTATGCGGGGAAGTCGCGGTCGATTTTCGAGAGGCGTACTGCGCGTTTCCATAATCGCCTCTTCCAATGTACTCCTCATTTGATCTATTTTATTATTATTATTATTATATACATAATAAACACCACTGCTGTAGGTACCTAGGCGGCTCCCGTTGTAGAGGATTTGCCTTCATCGTCACGCTCGGGAGGCGGTTATGCACTTATACTATTTAATTTTCTGTGCTTAATAGTATTAGAGCCGTGGTAGCTCAGATGATTAACGCTCGCTGTAAATATCACAGTATGCGAGTAATCCGGGTTCGATCCCCGCCTGCACCAATGAAATTGTTTATTGCAATTTTAAGTGCTGATTTACCACGTGCTCGGCGGTGAAGGAAAAAAAATCGTGAGGAAAGCGGCATCTCTGAGGAATAAGAAAAAAATTACTTCGAAGACATGTGAAGTTCGCCAACACGTATTGGGGTAGCGCGGCGGACACTTCCTTGCTCTAAAATCCTCTCAGAAATGTGAGGAGGCCTGTGCCCAGTAGTGGGACGTATATAGGCTGTAACTTTACTTTTTAATAATAATGTTACACAAACGTTCATTAATAATACGATGTAAACTGAATGTAAGGCAGACTAGGATACAGTATCACGAGATGTTAAGGGAGTTCACACAAATATTGAATTCGATTTCAGAACCATCGTGATTGGCACATACCATGCAGACACGAGGGAAATTGCAATACGTTCAGGATCGTACATTAATGACTCAAAATCCATAAATAATAATTAAAAGTAGCAGCTAGCGATCATGACCTGAAATGAAATTTACGGAGTCTTGACCCTAATTATCCACTTATGATTTTAAAATTTTAAAGTAATTACTTGTATAATGGTGAAGATTGTAGTTGATTCAGGCCACGATAATTACTTTAATAATCAATAAATTAAGATTCAACTACCAGTAATTAGGATAATCAACCCAACTATAGAATATCCTATATAATGGGGGTCCGCATACTGTAATTTTATAAGAATACGAAGCTACTTTATTTTTATAAAGGTTGATTATAACGTTAAGATGTCAATAAAGGCTGAAATGATAATAATAATAATATTTATTTGTATAAACATCGGTGTATAAAACATGCTCGTATGGCATTGGCAATGATGTGGCAAAAAAAAATGGTGTTGGCAAAAAAAATAATTTCGAAATAATACTTTTAAGGCGCACAAATATAATTGGGTAAAAGAAAGTATAAATACGATGGTTAATTTCATCAAAACCTGAAGAAAATCAAAGCGGCAAAAATATTTCTTTAAAATAAAAACATATATTGACATACTATATGTTTTTTCGCCATCTACGAATCATGCGTTTGCGCAAACAGAATACACCTGCCTATCAATCATACAAACTTTGAATGGGAAATAGGTATTAGCGCATATTTGATACATCGGAGAACATTATAATTAGGACCTTAGAGTAAACACAAGTATAGCTTGCTTATGTATACTCTAAGACCAGGACTCGTTTCTGGACCCCGCACAAAGGAGCGCATCTCATGAGTGTGTTTTTGTTTTGTGGTGGGCTAGCTACGAATTGCGAAAATAGGTCTGGTCGTCACCGTTTTGCATTATTTCGAACCTTTAAGCTTTCATTATATACATGTAAATAATCAAGTATATTAATGACAACGTATGTAATATATAACATTTAAAACGGTAAAAATCACAATTTGAAAAATAATAAATACATGAGATTCTTTTACAATTCCCTTGCCAGTTTTCACTTTATCAAATATGAATATCATCATCATCATTACAGCTCATTAAAAATTCACTGCTCAACATAGGCCTCCCCCAAATATTGCTGCGTCATATTGTCTTGCCCATCTATTTGTTTCCTTCTGTAATTTTAGTTACCACGCTTTGATTAGGTTGGCAAAGAGCTTTTTTCAGGAAGGTATTGTGCTGCTCATCTCTTGTTACAGTTTCTCTCTATCGTCTCTTGTTTCAATTTCTCTCTGTCGTCTCTTGTTTCACTTTCTCTCACACCCACGGAAGGATGTGGGATAGAGGATTGTCTTATGAAACCCACTATACAGCGGGAAATAAAACAAAAGGGTAAAATATAACAAAGGGAAAATAAATCAGCAAATACAGGGTTATTTTGCAATAACAGGCCAAATTTGCAGAGAATGTTTAGAATAAGATAGACAAATGTGAAGAAAAAGTAATAAAAAAAAATCTCAAACATTCTGTCCTTTTTACCTTTTAACTTCAAAATGCGTGGTAATGTAATTTTAACCGATTTTACTGCGCACGCGTTGTGCGTGCATTCGTAAGCGTCGATCGGTAGGCGAAAACGTTGTTACCCATAAATCACATTCAATTTGGGATAATTTCAAATACAATTAGAAGCCTTAATTACTCGTATTTTCAAAAACTGCAGTAACGGTATATCATTATTTATATATATGAACTTAAGTTTAAAATTTAGCTATTCATTGAAAAATAGCCCTATGGTTCGGAAATTAGCAATAATGTATTTTGAATACATTTTGAATAAGTACTTTAACTGTACCGGTTTTAATGAACCCGGTACTCACGATTCGGCACAAATGTTAAAATGTAATTGCAGAACTGCACAATTATTTTAGCGGTAAAAACTTCGATCAATGATACATTGATCGAATTGATCGAAGGCTAAAAAGGATCATAAATTTAATACTTAAAGAATTTTAACAAGTAATCTGGTATGCTTATTTCTTCAAAATCAAAATTAAATTACATTTTATTTTAAAATTACAGAAATGGAAGGCGCGGAAGATCTTAATGTTGTAGGCGGCATACAATCTATAATAAAGAGGGATGAAGACTATTTAATTAATTTCAAAACTGGTGAAAAGGCCAAGATATATATCATAAACAATCATGTCTTCAGATATTATGTGTCACCGACTGGAGTGTTCTTAGATTATCCGATACCAAACAATCCAGACGACGTTGCAAAAATCACTGTGAAAGATGTAGATGATTACGACAAAGAAGCTTTTGAGAAATCAAGTATAAAGGAACTTAATAAATATTATCGAATTGACATAAATAAAGTTCAAATACAATTTGATAAGATAAAAGCAACAATGACAGTGTTCGATTACAGAACTAAAAGAGAAGTACTAAAGGAATCGAATGCTTTGTTGTATAGTGCCGATAAATCAATACAGTCACTTTATCAAGGTAATGATGAGTACTTCTTTGGTGGGGGCATGCAAAATGGAAGATTTTCACATAAAGGAAATGTTATATACATACTGAACACCAACAACTGGGTAGACGGTGGAGTAGCTTCGCCTTGCCCATTTTATTGGTCCTCTAAAGGTTACGGAGTTTTAAGAAATACTTGGCAGCCCGGAGTTTACGACTTTGGGTCTAAATCCCCTAGCAAAATAGTGACAACTCATAATGAAGACCATTTCGACGCATTTTTCATTATCAATTCTCAACCAAGTGAGATTCTACGTGATTATTACGAATTGACTGGACAACCTATTTTAATGCCTGAATATGCTTTTTATCAAGCGCACTTAAATGCGTTTAACCGTGATTATTGGGTTAAAGTCAGTGGTAAGACGCCTGGTGCGATATTATTCGAGGACAACAATTACTACAAAAAGTACAAGCCAAATGAAATTGGTCATAAAAAAGGAATTTTGGAATCATTAAACGGGGAAAAAAATAACTACCAGTTTTCGGCAAGAGCAATGATTGACCGTTATAAAAAACACGATATGCCGTTAGGTTGGTTTATACCGAATGATGGGTATGGATCTGGATATGGACAAACCGATTCTCTAGATGGAGATATTGAGAATTTAAAACAATTTACTGATTATGCCACAGAAAACGGCGTTGAAGTTGCGCTTTGGACCGAATCTAATCTTTCTCCTGCCGATCCATCACATCCTAAAAAAGGAGAGAGGGATTTGAGCAAAGAACTAAGTGTGGCTAAAGTTGTTGCGCTTAAATGTGACGTGGCCTGGATTGGCAGTGGCTACTCATTTGGCTTAAACGCCGTCGACGAAGTCACAAAGATCTTCGTCTCGAATACAAAAATAAGACCAATGATTATAATGGTTGATGGTTGGGCTGGAACACAACGCTATTCTGGAATTTGGAGTGGTGATCAAACTGGAGGACAATGGGAGTACATACGTTTTCACATACCCACATATATCGGGACAGGTCTTTCCGGCCAACCCATAGTCGGCTCAGACATGGATGGTATATATGGGGGGAAAGAGAAAGAAGTAAATATTCGTGATTACCAGTGGAAAACCTTCACACCTTTACAGTTAAATATGGACGGGTGGGGGAACATTCCAAAAACTCCATTCAGTTTTGATGACGAAGCTACTAGCGTAAATAGGGCATATTTAAAACTAAAATCAATGCTTATGCCTTATAATTATACTATCAGCCATGAATCTATAACAGGCCTGCCAATGTTAAGAGCAATGTTCCTAGAATTTCCAAATGAAATCATTGCCTACACTAAGGAATGCCAATACCAATTTATGTGGGGGCCATACATTTTAGTTGCACCGGTATACAAAGAGGGTTTTAAGCGTGACGGAATTTTTTTACCAGATAAGAAACAGGTATGGATAGACTATTTTACTGGTAAAAAATATCAAGGAGGAAAAATTATTAATAATTTTGCCACTCCATTATGGAAGATTCCAGTATTTATAAAAGACGGAGCGATAATACCGATGACGAATCCAAATAACAATCCCAGTGAAATAGATAGGAGTAATAGAACTATTACTCTATATCCAAATAATCAATCAAAGTTTGAAGTTTATGAAGACGACGGCGTATCTTCTGATTATCTGAATGGGCACTTCGCTACAACAGAAATAGTTGTAGACGCTCCGAAATCCAATAAGAATGGACACCTTTTAATAAATATTGAAAAGACAAAAGGTTCTTATATGGGTATGATTAAAGAAAGAACTACTTTACTACAAATAATGGCTTCCAATGATGTCAATCACATAAAAGTAGCAATGAATGGCGAAACTCTTCAAGTCACAAAAGCTAATGATTTTGAAGATTTTGAAAGATCTGATAATACATATTACTTCAAAAAAGACTTTGAAGTTAATCCATATTTAAAAAGCTTTAATGATGCACTGCAAACAGTTTTATTGATTAAAATCCAAAGGCTGGATATAACTTCCAACCATTTACAAATAAAAATTAAACATTTCACAAACAGTTATAGAGTACTTGGTGAATACGAAGACGATAATATAACTTTGAAAACCCCTGATAATTTTAAAGTTCTAGCTGATGATACAAGTCCCACGAAGATATCACTTCAATGGTCTCCTGTAATTGGAGCAAACTATTATGAAATTGAAAAAGACAATATAATTTACAGTAATTTAGACACGACACAATTAACATTTGAAGATTTTGAATACAATACGCAGCATTTATTTAGAATGCGCGCTATAAAGGACGACGGTGTATCCGAATGGAGTGATTACGTGAGTGCACACACATTGGAAGATCCCGGTTTCATTTAAAAAGTGTAGGTAAAAGTGGCGTGCATTATTCCATATCAACCATACCGAGAGATCTGCGACTTAAATGGTAACTTGTCTTCTTTGTAGCACACCCATTGGCATAATATGGCGCTACCAAATTATGAATATATTTGGGAGCAGCATATTAATAAGGAAAGATCTTAATATTCTCTTTTACATAAGGTAATGTTTACGAAATAGAGAAAACTGATCACACACCACATACATAAGCTAGCAATGAAACTTTCAAGTGATATCAATTGTTTCAAAAACTTGAATTTCATTAACAAACTGACCTTGTAAATACTACAAACATTTATAGAGCAAATTTTCAATGCATTGCATATTGCATGCATTATTTGTTTTATGCAAGCAAGACTGACAAAAGAATACACAGTTCCACTAATGGTAAGTGGAAGCTATGGCCTATAGACACGACATCTATCCTCAAATAAGAATCAACAGACAGTAACAATGATGGTATATTGCACACTGGTATTGTGTGAGAATGTGAGCCATTCCCCGGTATAGCTGACCCATAGTATGTTGCAGCTCAGGTCTACCGCATATATAATTGCATTTAAGAGATAACACTTAAGATATTATGGAAACAAAAACAAACTTAAGACGATTATATATAACGTACTTTAATAACATACGAGTATCTTTAAAATCAATAATCCAATAGCTTAATTTTTTATTCAAACATTATACTAATTTTAAGGAGAAATGTATAGAGATGTAATTCTATGTTAAAATGATTAAAACTACTTTTACGGATTTTATCGCGTTTATTTTTACTTTTTATTTTTAATTCCCGACGTTTCGGGCGCTTTCCAGCACCCATGGTCACGGGGGACTGAGATGACTGACGTCCCGATGTCATTGTTAAACCCGGAGTACCTTCAGCTTTTTTAATTATTGTTTATGGTCCGATCTATGCAAAATGAACTGGCTATGTCTTGAGTTCTTGCAGTGGTATGCTTGGGTTTAGTCACAAACTGCAGACTTCCTTGTGATCATATCCTAGACGGCCCCAACCATTACATCAGATTTGATAGACCACAAATCCTCGCGAAAGAACACCGATTCCTACCAAGGATGATACGTGAGGCTATTGAAATTAAAAAACATCCTAATTTCAATAGAGAAGGAGGCTGGGTACTACCACCTGCTTGGGATCCTATAATCAATAAAATTAAAACTAAACCCAAGCATACCACTGCAAGAACTCAAGACATAGTCAGTTCATTTTGCATAGATCGGACCATAAACAATAATTAAAAAAGCTGAAGGTACTCCGGGTTTAACAATGACATCGGGACGTCAGTCATCTCAGTCCCCCGTGACCATGGGTGCTGGAAAGCGCCCGAAACGTCGGGAATTAAAAATAAAAAGTAAAAATAAATGCGATAAAATCCGTAAAAGTAGTTTTAATCATGTGCAATGTTCGCGTAAATATAAGAAATCTCTATGTTAAAATCTTCATTTTTATCATCATCATCAATATAGTTCATCACAAGTCCAATGCTGAACAGCCTACCCTAAGGAGTACTACAAAGCATTGGTCCTGAGCCACTTGCATCCATCGACTTCTGCATATCTCACCAGGTCATCATACCGTCTCGTGGAGGCCTTCGCTTACCTGTACTAGTCTGTCACTTGAAAACTTTCTTCAGCATCCGTTGTCGATTTTTTGAGCTATTTTGCCACCCTGTTTTTTATAAACTTTAAAACTTACTTTTTGCTAAATATTGTAATAAAACTCAATTTATAATCTCAAATTTTCACTTTGTATTGCATTAGCTTTCAAGATTGAGTACATTCCATAACGATTTGAGTCCGTAGTAAATTTAAATAAAAACCTAATACTATTCACAATATTTAATCGCACTCGCAAAAATAAATAATTAAACAACACTTCAAGCAAAAAAACACACTATAGAGACACTATGACTGCTGTAACTCATCCGCATTTCTCACAGCTATGATTGTGCACATAGAGGTCGCAGAATCAAACACACAACTAATAGACAAATCTTCCAACACACAACTGTACTCGTGGTCAGGGTATCTACTTCTGACGTAAAGAGATCTCGGATCTTCGGATAACAGACTTTCAATGTTACTTTTAAAAGATTGAGCCCTTTCTCCAATTAGATCATTAAGTCTATGAAAAGCTTCTTCTGTAAATCTAACTTCATATGTCTGTGATGGCGGATTAGAAATCCAAGACGCTACTCTTACGCCATCATGGTTTGTGTTATGGATATGGGCTAATTGTGGTGGGGTAAACCTTTCTTGCCCGTCCGGTGCCCCTCTTTCTGTTTCTGGACGCCTCAAAGGGGATCTGTTCTGAAAGGTTGCATCCGACATATCAACACTGGAATGAGAATCGGGTGATGGTGAGATCGGAGTTGTGGGATCGCTTTGTCGGTCTGGAGAGGTTTCATCATCATAAGGCGAATGACTTTCCGATGGCATCCCCATCGGGTTCGTTACACGCGGACTTAAACTGTAATAAAAAAATATTATTAGAACTTATTCTGTATTATTTATACCTTATATATTTTTTGTGTAAGTTTTTACTATTTTAAGATATTTTTTATCGTTTTCGTTTTATTCATTATAAGTTGTTCGTTTAAATGTGAGGGGCAGCCATCATAGATGTTCCTTATTAAGTGAGTAAGATAATCCTAGAATACAAAATGCTTTGCATACTATACAGTATAATAAAAATAAGTACGTATTATTGATTTAATATTATCATTGTCCAAAAACTGTATTAAAATGAAAATGATTACTAACGTAAAAATCTGAGATTTGTTAATGTAACCATAAAATTTTAAAAACTGAAAACAAGATCTTATTCAGTGATTGTTTTAGTTGTAGTATGTATGTAAAAACAGGTAGTTAAATACTGCATCGAATAAAATGAACTAGCCATACTACTCTGCCGTCATAGAGTTTATAACTAGTATTGAGGTAGAAGTCTAATTTTTGTTGCAAAACCAGCCAATATTTTACAAATACCTACACAAATCTCGAAGATTTAAAAATCTATATACAACATGTAACAAAAACCCTGTGGTTCCCGTTAACTGCGTTATAAGAGTCGGTATCCAAGCATGTAGAAACAATTTTTTTTTTCAAAAAAAAAAAAACACATTTGAAAAATTAATTTTAATGAAAAAAAAATTTTTTTTTTGCAAATTGTTTGTGGTTTTATTATCTCTGCATTGGCCGAGGAGTTAGAGGATTGACAAAAGTCCCCGCATTACCGATACTCGTGCGAGTTAGAGGAAATAAAACCACATACAATTTGCAAATTAATTTTTTTTTCGTTAAAAATAATTTTTTTAAATGTTTTTTGAAAAAAAATATTTCTATACGCTTGGATACGGATTCTGATAACACACCTAACGGGAACCACAGGGTTTTTGTTACATGTTGTATAGATTGAAAAATCGAATTAATTGTAAGCTAAGTCTCTTAAATAAAGAATTATTATTATTATATTAATATGCTCAATGTATTTATTTGTTTTTGTATTATTAACGTTTTATAAATATTTAAATAATGTATTTTACTCTCAGTTTTTATATTATAAAAATAAAATAAACTAAACTGTATTTATTTTTCAACTTTAACTAAGTTCTAGTTTCGAAAATGTACCTAATTAATACAAAAATTGTAGATCAATCTTAGTAAGCTGATTTACCACATCAAAAAATGATTACGAAACCTGCATGTGTCTCAAATATCTCGAGGACATGTATGCAACAGTGCGGCAGAATAACTTCTGCATTACCCTTTTAGAATTGAAATCGTGGTCTGTTTCTACAGTGGGACGTATGTTGGATGTAATGATGTCAAAAACGTCACCACTACCGTCCAAAATTACAGATTTTACCGTTGTCACCAATCACCACTTAAAAACTAACATTCTAAATTCAAAAAATTTATGTCATTCTTTTTGACATTCAATTGTTTTAATATTCAGTAATCATGTTGAACATGGCCAACTCAAAAATCAAATTAATTTTCGAATATACCAGTTCCGACGTGTTCCTAACGCAGTAGAGACAGCTAGTAATATCAACGCAGTAATTTCAACGCAGACTAACGAATGCACTAAACTTTTGTGGTTTAATCGATTTCGTCGTAGAAAGTTCAACGTATAATAAAGAACACATCACGAGGAAGAGCAGAACAAGGTAATAATAATGAATGTATGAGCTTATAAGCAATATTAATTTAACGCAATTACATTTTAGTTTCTCATGAAGAAATGAAGGCATTTTGGACAGAATAATTATGACGTATGATGATTCTTTACAATAATCGTATGCTAAAAACGCAATGACTAAATCCAGGTAAAACATCAGACAAATAGTCTAAAGCGAATCTCACCAATAGAAAAGTAATGTTAACCGTTTGGTGGTCACTTCATGGTGTAACTCGCTGAAGCTATTTGAGATCCAGTGTATCAATAGCAGCAGATGTCTATTGTGAAGAACTTCGAGCAATGATAACGGAACTCTCAGAAAAATAACCCCAACTCTTTAATCGATGTTCGCCATTATTGGTTCCATTATAACGCAAGACCTCACACTGCTCGTAAAACAGTTGTAAAATTGTAAGATCTGCAGTTAGAAATCATATGCTATACTCCGTACTACGTACGTACACGTGGACAATTTCCTGCACAAAATGCCTTCATAGACTTTATAAGAGTCTAGATCCCAAGAGTTCTATCGCAAAGTCATATTATGATCTTTCCTCGAGAGAGGCAGAAATATGACATGATATAATGAGGATAAATACTTAGATTAAATAAACATATTTTTCTTCGTACACGTGGACAATGTCGTGCTAAGAAAAAAAAATCTGTTCTCTAGAAGCAGTACAAAATGCCTTCATAGACTTTATAAGAGTCTAGATCCCCAGAGTTCTATCGAAAAGTCATATTATAATCTTTCCTCGAGAGATGCAGAAGTATGATATGATATATAATGAGGGTAAATACTTAGATTAAATAAACATATTTTTCTTGGGAAAAAGAGGTGTTTGAAATTTTCTGTATAAAAAAGGCCATTTCATTTTTTAACTACTAATAATTAGTACCAGGTTTAAACTGGAATCGAAAGAAGTCCCGCAGAAATATGCAAAGTAAAGTATAAGTTGTAAATATTGGAATTTCACAGTTAGCAAATGTTAACTTGCAACGCGAAAGGACGCGTCCTATAAGGACTCTTCTTAAACCATGATTCAAATCAGATGGTTTAAATAACAGTTCTCCTCGCGAAAGAAGATTAATTTGCTCTGGATTCCATACTTTACAACTTTACATTTTGTTCACATATTTACCATGGCACTTCTATATTGAAACAGACTGCTTAAAGTGGAGACTAAATATGTAACTATGTTTCTGTAGTCGTGTCTGTAAACAGGCTGATCCCGGTCAGATTAGCCGAGATACCGCCTGCATCGTTCGCCGGTTTCTTTCCGTTTGCCCCTAACGACCGTTTGGTCTCCACTGCCGAGGTCTTCGGTCTGGTTGGGTTTTGTCTATTTAATTATTTATATTTTTGTAACAAGACGGTTGTGGCCGTGAAAGGAAAAGGGGAGATCTCCCGCCGGGCAAGGTGTTCTGCCCGGGGAGCGGCCAACACTCCGTGTGATAGTTCGGAGAAGTTCTATATATTATATACTGTCTATGATTCGGAAAGTTAATAGCGCGATTTAGGCTTCGGTGTGTTTCGGTGTGCTGGTGGCGCGACGACAGCGCCGCTACATCACCCCCCTGCTCAGACCGGAGGTCGATTGTGCATCGTTGCCGAAGAATGTGCAAGTGCCAGGAGATTGCCTTGTAGTCTGCGGTGAGTCGAGAAGAAGGCAAGTAATCTGCGAGAGTGCCGTGAAGCAGAGGCGGGTAGTAAGTCTGAGAGCCGTGCCGAACACTGTAGCGCAGAGAGTAGCTTGAAGGAACAGGAAGCATTATTATTCCAGTGCTGCGATGAACCTTGTGAAGCTAGATGACTTGCAGGATATGAAGACTGCAGACGATATCTGCTCGGGAGCGAATGAGTGGGGTATTCTATGACGATGATGAAGCTTGAAGTTTCCGAATGTTGTTTGGTTGCGTGTTCTGATCACGTCGGGGTCACCATTGTGGCCGTGGAAGGAAAAGGGGAGATCTCCCGCCGGGCAAGGTGTTCTGCCCGGGGAGCGGCCAACACTCCGTGTGATAGTTGGGAGAAGTTCTATATATACTGTCTATGATACGGAAAGTTAATAGCGCGATTTAGGCTTCGGTGTGTTTCGGTGTGCTGGTGGCGCGACGACAGCGCCGCTACACGGTAAAGGAACCATTACAACCGACGGGACGGTAAACCGCAATGACCGGAGAGAGATCAGGCGCATGACCCAACGGCACAGGGGTGAGACACCGCCAAAAACCTGACTGCGGGCAACTACTGAGAATTTTTTCACGGAAAAACTCATTAACTGTTTTTTTTACTCGCACCTTGAATCTCATGATGAGCAGTGGCGCTTACGACCACTAGATCAACGAGACAGAAGTAACAGTAGCCTAATGTTGAAGGGTACTGACTGACAAACGAACTGACTATCCCACGAAATCGGGTTTTCAAATAAGAAAATTATCAAATACACTTAGTTTGTTAGGAATAGAAATTATTTAAAATAAATTTATAGGCAGTTTTTTAATATCTTTTGACAGTAGACTCGATCTCGCACCTATTTTTTTTATAGAATAAGGGTGACAAGCAAGCACACAGTCCGCCTGATGGTAAGTAGATGCTGTGGCCCACAGACATCTACATTTATCCTCGATTAAGAATACAAACGCAGATGCTTTGTCACCCATGAGAGATGGAATGCCCCATTTCCAGTAAAAAGGCTCTCCAGATCTCTACACTTACCATACGAAACACAGCAGTATTAACCTCTTAACCCCCTAGTGGTCTCATGAGACTGCGGCCACATTCAGTCAAATCCCTAGCGGAAGTATATATTGAAATAATTGTGATTTTTACGCTGCCGACATTCGCTTGGTATGTTATTTTTTGTTATCAAAATACAATAAAATCTTTTTGTAATGAAGTAAAACCTGACTTTTGTTTAGACCACAAGATAGAGGATTTTGTATAGATAAACTTCTTCATAGAAAAGTAGTCTCTAAATATAAGTTTTAATGGTTTTAAGTGCTGTGGATGGGTGCGGTCGCATGTGACCGCTAGGGATTTGCCGGGCGCATGTGACTGAATGAGATTTTTATGGCGCTTGAGGGGTTAAGCTGCTATTTTACACCGGCTTTGTGTGAGAGCGTGGTCCTTACCCAGTCGGGCCGACCAATTCGTTCTACAACTATAATATAGCTGCAGCGTGGCTCTATCATATGCTAAACTTCGCGCTACGTCTTGTTTAAAAAAAGATGTAGTAGTTTAAATGTTTACCCCAATAAGTCAAAGGACAATTTTATAAGATTGAAGTGATAAATTATATAAGAGTCCACCTGATGGTAAGTGGCCACCACAGCTCATGGACACCTACAGCAATCTCGAATAAACAAGGCTACATATGCGTTGTCACCCCTGAGGATAGAGACGGAATGCTTAACACCCTTTAATTATACTGGCTCTCAATATACCATTCAGACCAGAACATTGCAGTACGGGCACTCCTGCTTAGCGGCAGATATAGGCAAAACATATAGAATAAACTTTTTCTTGTATTTCTTGTTTTAGTGTTTAGTGATTTTTTTATAGCATTGGGTGACAAACGAGCACACGGTCCACCTGATGGTAAGTGGATGCTATGGACCATGGACATCTACATTTATGCTCGATTAAGAATAAAAATGCAGATGCGTTAGCCTAACCCCTGTGAACTAATATGGAATATCTCGTTTCGGAGTAAAAAGGATCTCCGGCTTTTTATTCTCACCACACGAAACACAGCAGCATTAAGCTGCTAATTAACGCTGATATTCTGTGAGACCGTTGTCCCCCGGTAGAGCGGCAGTGGCGAAGCTAGAGCTCCAAACTAGGGCAAGCCTAATATATAAATTTGTGGCGGCGCTGTCGTCGCGCCGCAAGCGAAACACACCGAAGCCTAAATCACGCTATCAAAATTCCGAATCATAAACAGTATATTAAGAACATCTCCGAACTATCACATGGAGTGTTGGTCGCTCCCCGGGCAGAACATCTTGCCCGGCGGGAGATCTCCCCTTTTCCTTCCACGGCCACAAATTGATAAAAATATAGATTGTTGTTTTTAGCAGTTTTATGAAAATACACCAATCTTGATCGTGCACGTGCAGTCAAGTTTAACAAAGTACACAGAAAGCATACTACTGCTAGATAGATTGTATTACATATCAGCAATTGCATAGCTTCGGTGGGTTTGAAAAAAGCCGTTTGGGTTTGTTTGAGCGAAAGAAAAAGATATTTACATACAATACCATACATGAACAAAAGTAACACATGAACTAAGTACAAACTATGTACAAAATTAAAAAAACAAATTATTTACATTCTAAATGGAATCGGCTCTCTTTCTTAAGGAAAGATTTAATTACGTCCACGTAAAATGTTGGTGAACGTTTTAATTGTTGGTGGCAGCGATAAATACAACCAATAACAACCAAATAGCGACCAATAACAGTTTTTTAAATGCGATAATTGATAAGTATGAAATACACTCTTGACCTTGTGTATTATCTCAATAAAGTTAAAAGATTTTACCTTTTCCTCTCCGATTAGCACTTTAACACACTTCAATTCATCACAAGCAACACTATTATCCTCCATTTTCACTAAAAATCTTTAAAAAAGCATAAATTTTCAACTCGCAATATTAAATCGCTTAAGCTAAACACACAGAGTAAATAAAAATTGAAATGTGTCTCTATTAACACTCATTTTTTATGACAGCAGCAGTATCGCTAAGGCAATACGAGGTCATCAGTCGACCTGTGTCGAACAGTGGAGTGCGCGGGAAATTTGAAATAGTTTGAAACAGTTTACGAGTTATTTTATTAGTTGATATTATTGATTGGCTCAGTTGTATGGAGCTTTTCGGCTTCTATGGAGGCTTCGCTACTGTAGAGCGGACCCATTCATACTACAATCATAATATTATAGCTGCAGCATGGCTCTCATCATCATCATCATAATTACAGCCCTTCACAAGTCCACTGCTGAACATAGGCCTCTCCCAAGGTATGCTACAAAGCACGGTCCTGAGCCACCTGCATCCATCGACGTCCTGCATGTCTTATCAGGTCGTCACTCCATCTAGTGGGGGGAGTTCGCCCTACACTTCGCCTACCGGTACGAGGCTGCCACTCCAGAACCCTTCTTCCCCAACGGTTGCCGGTTCTTCGAGCTATATGGCCGGCCCATTACCACTTCAGCCTACTAATCCGTTGGGCTATGTCGGTCACTCTAATTCTACTGCGGATATCCTCATTTCTAAGTTTATCATGCAGAGAAACTCCGAGTATAGCCCTCTCCATAGCTCGCTGAGCGACTTTGAGCGTGCTCATACGGTCAGCAGTGAAGGGCCACGTTTGGGTTCCGTAGGTCATCACTGGCCACACGCACTGGTTGTACAACTTAGTTTTCAGGTTTTGAGGTATACCTGACGAGAAGATGCATCGTAATTTCCCGAACGCTGCCCAGCCGAGTTGAATCCGTCGATTGACCTCTCGGTCGAAGTTGGACTTACCTAGTCGGACTATTTGTCCCAGGTAAACGTACTCGTCAACAACTTCGAGCTTAGTGCTCCCAACAACTACCGGCATAGATGTGACATGGACATTAAACATGATCTTTGTTTTTTCCATGTTCATCTTAAGACCTATCCGTTAGGAGGCACTATTGAGGTCATTGAGCATAGTGTTTAAGTCCTCCAGCGATTCTGCCATAAGGACTATATCGTCGGCAAATCGAAGGTGAGTGATGTACTCGCCATTGATGGTAATACCGTATCCTTTCCAGTCAAGTAGCTTGAAAACGTCTTCCAATGCAGCGGTGAAGAGTTTCGGGGAAATAACGTCACCCTGTCTTACACCTCTCTGCAGTTGGATAGGTTTCGTACTTTGGTTCTGTACTCGGATAGCCATCGTAGCCCTACTGTACAAACACTTCAGCACTTCGATATACCGACAGTCAACTTGGCACCGCTGAAGATACTGTAGCACCGCCCAAATTTCGACGGAATCAAAGGCTTTCTCATAGTCCACATACGCCAGGCAAAGTGGCACATTATACTCTTCGGACTTCCGTACAATTTGCCGAAGGGTATGTATGTGGTCTATGGTACTAAAGCTGTGTAGTGGCGGTTGAGAATATCCACTACCCCATATCTTCCCGTGGGTGTCGTAAGAGGCGACAGAGGGAGATGGACAGGAGATGGGCAGCAGCATCTTCCTAATAACAACAATAATATAATAAAAAAAACTGCGATTGCCAACCCGCTCGCCAAGCGTGGCAACTACGGCAAATATCCTCCCATGAATAACGACGCAAACAAACGGCCCCCAGTCCCCGGCGGCCCCGCTATTCCTGGCTACGGTGAGGCTTTAGTACCATAAACCAGCATGGCTCTACCACGTTGAAAATGGTTATATTGCTGACGCAACATAATGATTATAAATGATCATCACCTTCCAACGCTGAAATTGTCATCGCCTATTCGCAGCGACGCCAAACCATCCACCGCGTCACTGATGCCCTCTGTCGGCGGCCGTACTAAAGACATTGCTGCGTCCACGAACGGTGCTGGGCAATCATAATGCGGAATGTACGGTTTTATATCTAACACAGGAGTTCCATTTACCATGTCCACTCCCTCAAAGTAAATTTTATTGCCTGAAATACGAAAAAAGAAATATTGTTACATGTTGTTGATTTAATATTATAAAAAATAATGTTTGTTCATATTTTATGCGCTGCCATGCCGTTCATCAGATTGCAGTAAAACTTTGTCAACTTATTAACTTCATATCGTACCGACAATTTGAATGTTATATAGTATCATTAGAGTTCAATTATAGTATTATCATTACTATTTGACAATATAGCTCTTTCGAATTTAAAGCGATATTTATACAATTATTTCTTCCGCGCTAACGCACCAGGTACCAGCTAGTATATAATATAGGTAATTTTATGATTTGCCAGACTTCGTAAAAGAATTTTTCTCAATACAATTATTTTGTATGGTTGTTTACGCGATATCTTTGGCAATTAACGTGAACCGATTTTAATGATTCTTTTTTATTAAATAGGCTTCAAGGGAAAAATAAATCCACCCTTAGGGGTGAAAAAATAGACACTTTCAATGTTCATTTAGACAACGTTCTTGTTGTAAACTTGAGTTTGTTGTTTTATTTAAACCCCTGAAAAAGTAAAAACCACCTTGAATAAAACTATTATTTACGGATTTTATCGCGTTTACAGACGGGAACATACAGCTGATGTGAAGCACCGACGCTCCGGGAAGTCTGCAGTCTGCGAACATGTTCAAGATCGTCCCCACCATTACATTAGATTTGATAAACCACAAATCCTCGCAAAAGAACACCGATTCCTACCAAGGATGATACGCGGGGCTATTGAAATTAAAAAACATCCAAATTTCAATAGAGAAGATGGTTGGGTGCTACCATCTGCTTGGGATCCTATAATTAACAAAATTAAACCAAAACCCAAGCATACCACTGCAAGACTTCATGATACTATAAGCTCGTTTTGCGTAAATCGGACCAAAAATTAATATTCAAAAACTGAAAGTAGCCGGACTAACTATGACATTGGGACGTCAAACATCTCAGTCCCCTCCGTGACCATGTGTGTTGTAAAGCACCCGAAACGTCGGGATAATAATAAAAATAAATTAAAGTAATTAAACGCGATAAAATCCGTAAATAATAGTTTTATTCAATGTGTAGTGGTTCGCGTAAATTTAAGAAATCATTAAAAACCACCTTCAAAAAAAAAGAATAAAATCTCAAAATTTAAGAGCTTTGAAGTTTTTATAGGATAAGCGTGAAAAACGAACACATAGTCTACCAGGTGGGAAGTGGTTGCTGTGATCCGTACATATCTACATCTATCCTCAATTACGAATAGAAATCCAGATGCGTTGTCACCCGTGAGGACTAAGATGGAATGTCTCGTTTCCAGTAAAAAGGGTCTCCGGTCCTCTACATCTACACTCACCAAACGAAACACAGCAGCGTTAAGCTGCTATTTCACGCTGGTATTCTGTGAGAGCATGGTTCTTCTCCAGTCAGGCCGACCCAGTCGTGTTACAACTATACTATTAATATGGCGGCAGCATGGCTCTATATTAGTAGTAGTTTTTGTTTTAATTCTTTGATACACTATGTTCTGGCACCGTAAATTTTTTTGGTATCCTTTGTGTGTACCATCTCAAGATAACGACTAGAATTTCTTCAAAACAGTTACATTATGAACATCATCCTCTATTTTCCCACCCTTAAAGGTAAAATTTTTCATCAAATATAAATAAAGCTATCCATGTAATATAGAAAGAGTCATAAAAAGAGTTCACAATTATTACAAAGATATCGCACAAAGAAAAGAAAAACAAACAAACAGTTGAATTAAAAACCTTCTTGACATGCACCGTGGTGACCCAGTGCTTGATAGAGGATTTCAATTTTCAACTAAAATTATTATAGTAAATTAATAAACATGTAAGTTATCAAGCAGGAATACCTTCAATGCTGGATATCTTCACAAGAGAAAGTCCAATAGGGCAAGGTCTGTGTGGTGACCTGGTAGAAAATACCCCTCGTCGCTCCCCACAAAGCCGGGGTGGCGTGACTTTGGCCGGTACGTTTGTGCTCTCGGTCGCATGACAATGAAATATTATCCTGAAATATTAAACAACAGGAGTACATAACATGGTAACTCGAGAGCATAGATACCGGTTTAAGGTAATATCGAAAAACCGAGATTTTGTAAAAAAAATATCGATATTGAGAAGCCAGTATTACTAATACTGATAGTTCGTCATTAGTATTTCCGATCGAGACTGATCCGCGGATTGATGATCGCAGTGCTTTTGCCGCTATATAAAATGGTTATACCGCCGTAGTATCCCCGGCCACGGGACGTATGGATTGGTGGATATTCATTATTTTTATACAAATGCTTTTTTTATAGGATGGGATGACAAACGAGCACACAGCTCACCTGATGGTAAGTGATTGCTGTGGCCCATAGACATCTACATCTATCCTCGTTCAATCATCAAGAATCAAAATGAAGATGCGTTGTCATCCGTGAGGACTTAGGTGGAATGCCTTGTTTCCAGTAAAAAGGTTCTTTACACTCACTATACGAAACACAGCAGCATTAAACTACTATTTTACGCTGGTATTCTGTGAGAGCTTGGTCCTTCCCCGGTCGAGCCGACCCATTCGTGCTACAACTATGTCACTAACATAACTGCAGCATGGCTCTACCAAAAGCTGTTGTAAGAACGAACGAAGAACGCCTGACTGTTGGTTTGCAAATTTTTCTAATATTTATTTTCTTTCTAATGGCAGCTGTACACTTTTGACGATGGCCCACGGGGCAAGGCGAGGACGAGACTGTACAGGATACTTTCGCTGAGCCTTGCCATCCCCCGCCTCGCGTGCTCTCGCGCTCGTGTCGGTTTTTTATGCGCGAGTCAAAGGGCCTCGCCTTCCCGAGGGAGTGGAAAAGAGTGAGTCACTGTACACTCGCGCTTCGTTCAGTCTACCGCAAGACGTTGTCACGTGCAGTATATTTTGGTTATCCGAGTACCACAAAGTTATCATGTGGAACCAAGAGAGCGAACTCAAATTTATTATTTTGTGGGAGCCCACGCATCGTTACCACAAAGACAAAAATCCATCTATCCGAAATCATGGGTCCATCTTCTCGCCGTCCTATAAAGGAAATCCTCCGAATAAAGGAGAATGTACAAGGTCACACTCGTGAAGCGCTTCTCGTGCGAGAGGCTCGCTCGAGACACAGTTTAGTAAATAGTTTACCAATCATATATATATTATACATCACTCCCATACAAAAGCGAAAATACCTACGCTATAATAGCCTACAAAATCTTAATATCTGCTGTTCGCAGCGAGAAGAAAATGTACCACAAATACGCGTACAAAGAGTCGAGATTGTGTTGCCCGCCGTGCGACTCACGTGCAAGCGCATCATCGCACGAATGCGCTAGGGTTGTACATAATATTATGATGATAATTGTAATAATACGAATGTTGCGAAATAAACAATTTTTTTTATTTGATAATCAAATTGGTGGTTGAGTTTTAAAAAATGATTTATACATTTTTTCCTTCTCTGAATTCTCGATTATAAAATTTTATCGTTGAAAATATCCTAAATAGCGTAAATAGATTTAATAAATAATCAGGAAAACAGGAGTAAAGGGGAGGATAGTCAATGTTTTGTAAAATTTGCAACAAAGTGCTGCCAGGCCGATTCATTATGACGTTGCCAAAATTATTTAAGAATGCTCTTTCTAATTCTTAAATATAATTATTAAACGTTTCTGGTGGGACTTTTAGCCCACCATAAAAATATGAATCTTTATTATAGGCTTTGAAATGAGCATACAGTGTTGTTTCGTCAACGTTAGGTTTCTCCTGTAACAAAGCTCAAGAAATTTGACCGTATATCTCAGTTTCGTAAGCAACTCAAGTGGCTCCCAATTCGACTTCGAAGGAACACTAGATTGTTATGTCTCCTCTATAATATTTTGCACAACCCTTCCTCTCCCACATACCTCAGAAGCCGATTTTCCTTCACCCATACTCCGGACAAACCATTCAGATCCCTTGTTAAAGATCTTCTTGACTTTCCCGTCTATAATTCCGGTTTTTACTCCCACTCCTTTTCAGTTCACGCGGTATAGCATTTAATGGAGACTCGTACCGACAAATGAAATTCCGAAACTTTGTTGGTTTTCAAGAAACGTCTTCGAGATAACTACTTTGCATCCTGTTAATTTATATATATTATTCTATTATATTACTTTTAGTTTATATATATCATATGTAACTATCGTCTTTATTATTATTATTATTTATTGATTTATTTTATTTTTATTTATTGTAATATTTTATATAAGTTACGTAACATTGTGTATATTATTTATTTTTTAATAGTACTAATGTATGCACTAAGTTTGCAATTTCAATATAATTTCCTTTATGGATCTACTGGAAGATATTTCAGCTAATTTGGAATAAGTAGAACCTTTGTACGTAGTTACTATAAGACTGCTTCTGTATCTTAATGTGTGTACATGAAATAAATTAAAAAAAAAAACATTGAAGTGAGTGCAGTTATGTTTTTTGCTACACATATATAATAAATTCCCTTTTTGACTTTGACACCTATCCACTGCACAATAAGCGCGGAAAGCATGCGCGGTGCGAGCGCACAGCCGGGCGTACGGCAGCCCAATGTCCGTTGTATCGTGGACGATACGCAGAGCGATAGGCATATAACGCGTGGCTTAGAGCGAGTGACGGAGGCCTGCTCGAGGTATGGCGAGTGCTCCCGTGCATGAATGTACAGCCGCCATAGAATGTTTAGTGATAATAATAATATTGTAGATTTAGTTAAAAATATACATTTAATTTCTAAAAAAATCAGTCTTTCCCAAACTAATTATTTTGTACAAAATATTGGAAAGTCGAAAAAAAGGTACTCATATGAAGGTTTAATATCAAAATAATATCAATATTATGAAAATCCACCGATAGTCCATGTCCTGGGTAATATATTTCATATATACTCAATAGGATCATCAATGCAATACTCTTTTTTGTTAACCCTAATATTATAACATACCGTAACACGACATATTTTCTTTAAGTGATAAGAATATTTTTTAAAGATGCGAAATCACAACTTGATTCTCGTAACAAAAATCTTGAGTAGGTGTTATTTTCAATTATTAAAGGCTTAATTTTCCACCTTTTTTTGCACATAATATAATTCAGTATCATGCATTTTACTTATGGGTGGTGTAAACTAAACGTGAATCAAACTTGGAGCTCATGTTTGCTAAACCGTTTTCGGAATGTTTCTTCACCTTAACTATTGCTACTTTCACTTTCTAATATAGAATTGCATGCATGGTGTCGCGTCGGTCTAGTACTACTACTACTCTTGCCGTACCACTCCTCGGTAAAGTCTTTTAAGTACTTCTCCATAATATATTATGGTCTGCTACTATCATAGTCCTCCATAAAATGTTTAAAGCATTACTCAGCTTAGCTCAGCTCAGTCTTAACATTCTTATATCAGACACCATTTTCTTGTCTCCTACTACGTCAATGTAAAGTTAATAAATAATATTAGGTATGTAAAATTTCCCATTAAATTGAACACTTAACTCCGACATAAGATATGAGTGAGACTTATCTCTTAAGTGTATGTTATTAATAATAAGTACCCGGATGGCCGAGCTTTACTCGGTTTTTTTTTTTTTGAAATAACATTTAGATACAAATTACATACTGATGAATAATATTTTTTGATCCTATTGACATAATAAAAAAACTGAACTGGTTATTTGAATAAAAAATCATGTGTGCAATTAGTTTAATTAAAATTTTCGTATTTTATAAAATACTAAAAAAGGGCTCGAAATAAAAGATTTTCTCACAAAAGAAGGGAACTTGAAAAAAGGAAAAAAAATCGAACCGAAGACGTGACGCGAACTCAGGCATTACGATTTTGCGACCGCTCGATATCCACTTGAGCTATTACGATCATTGTCAAAGTATCAAAATTTACTTTCTTATATTGTAGCAGTTTTTCATTGCCTGAAAACACGGACAAAAAGACATTTTCTAAAAATAAAGCCTAGCTAGATCGATTTATTGCTCCCGAAACTCCCTGGACACTAAATTTTATGAAAATCGTTGAAGCCGTTTCCGAGATTCCGATTATATATATATATATATATATATATATTGCTCGTTTAAAGGTATAGGATATAACTTAAACTTCTATAATTACTGATTAGTAGTAACTGAATCACATAACATTAAGATAAGATACACATTATTTATATTTATATGCTTATTTATAAAGTGAAGTTAATATACAGTCCACATATTTGATGTCTAGACCGGGACCAAACGTGGACCCATAATCTCATGCATCAACCACCTTTTAAGATTAGGGGTGTGTGTTTCTGAAGTAGACGTTATCGAAGGATATGCCCATTGCGTTGTCTCGAACCAACGTAGTGTGGCTGAGGCAAGGGGACAGATCGACGAGTTAGGAACTGGAAGACTCGCCGGATTACTACAGTGACAACCAGCGTTAAGGGTCTTGTTTAATGGTCCTTCGGAGTGAAGGGTCATCGATTCAGAAACGCCCACGATCCTCTTTACCACTTTTTAACTAGGTACACAATATGATAACAAAATGATTAAAACTACTTTTACGGATTTTATCGCGTTTATTTTTACTTTTTATTTACTTTTATTTTTGATTCCCGACGTTTCGGGCGCTTTCCAGCACCCATGGTCACGGGGGACTGAGATGACTGACGTCCCGATGTCATTGTTAAACCCGGAGTACCTTCAGCTTTTTTAATTATTGTGACTCCGGGTTTAACAATGACATCGGGACGTCAGTCATCTCAGTTCCCCGTGACCATGGGTGCTGGAAAGCGCCCGAAACGTCGGGAATCAAAAAATAAAAGTAAATAAAAAGTGAAAATAAACGCGATAAAATCCGTAAAAGTAGTTTTAATCATGTATAGTGTTCGCGTAAATATAAGAAATCATTATGATAACAAAATTTTAAGAAGAAATTATTTCATGTGCAATCTGTACATAGTTAAACCACGAAAGTTAAAGAGCCTATCTTTTACTAATTAATGTGGGGTTTAAAACCAAATTTATTAATTTAATTTTTATAATATATTATATAAGAACACAAATTTACATCGTTTATCAGCAAATCACAGCAATTTTAGTAAATTTGAATCTTGTTTCAAAAACGACATCAGACTGTACACTACAAGATTATATGGCTATGAAGGCTAGTTGTAGCTGAAAAATTACTTTGTAATTTGTTGGAATATCTAAAATAAAGTAAAAACTCCTTATTCGCACTTCCTTCATTCGCGTTTTCACTATTCGCGGATTAAAAAAATGCGAACCAATTCCTATATTCGCGGCTAAAGATTTCTTTATTCGCGGATCTAATCTGTACATCGGTACACATACTTATTAATAAAAAGGATTCCAATAGTGTACATTTTTAATAAATAAACGTGACATTTAATTTGAAAATTTTTAGTGAATGTTTAAAAATGGCAAATGAGCTTTGTGATTTCTTTATGAAAATTGATCCTTCCATGGAATGAAGTATTATTTTAAGAGGCAAATTGCTAATACTACTGCTGAATAACAGTAAAATTTGTTTTATTCAATGTGTTGCATTCCCATAAATAAAGACATCAATAGGTTTAAGTAAGTTTAAGGAATTGACAAAACCAATATTAAGAACTTGCTGTACTAATAACACATTTTGGGTAACTAACTGTAACCAAGTATTTTATTGTTTTGATTCAGACTGATGAGGTGATTAAAGTTGTTCAAAACGACTATAAATCAATAGCACGCTACAGACTACAAACTAGAAATTTCTAGCGCGCTATTAAATACGCTATGTTATAGCGAGCTATTTATAAAAAAGGGTGTAGGAGGCCGGCAAGTGCGTTAAGTTTAGCAGCACGCTATATCTCGGAGCACGCTACATTACATGTCGTTCATTGGATAGATCGCGTGCTATATAAGAACATTGTTTCATAATAAGTCGCATTTTAGATTAAAATAAAATAAAATTGTAAAGAAAAATTAAAGAACGCTCTCTCATACTTTTAAGACTTTTTATGATCCTAAAAATATTTTTAAGGACTGTACTTTTTAAAACAAAATAAAATTAATCATTTTTTATTATAATTGATGTAAACGTTATTTAAACCTTACTATAAATTATAAATAAAAGGTGTATTTAAAAGTTTATTAATTGTTAATACAAAAATCAACTATTTACAAACACTATTATATACACTTTTGTATCTATATTTTATTTATATTTAAAAACATTAGTTAGGCTTCTTTTGTAGCAGACAACTGTGTCCTTCGATCACTTATAAATATACAGTATACACTAACTAATTAACGTCTAACACTAAATTAGTTCACGCGCGATGAATAGCGTGCTGCTAGATTAAATTTGCGTCACACGTCTACTTTCAACAGCACTGCTGCTAGAACTAATTGCCGCTTGATATGAATAGCGCCAAAGCGTCATAGCGCCATAGCGCCATGGCGACTACTTACATAGCACGCGCTATGCGTTATGAAGAGATAGCGCGCTATAATATGACGCTATGCGCTATATTAACCACCATTAGAGGTGATAGCTACCAAGCTATTTCTAATTCGTTTTGTGTTTATTAATTGTGTAATATATATGATTGTAAGCAGTTATTTAAAAAAAGTGCCCACTGGGATCCTTGCTGGTTCTTCCAGGACAGAGGTTTTTTCTGACCAGTGGTAATTAAAAAAGGAAGTGACTTTCAATTAGTATTATTTATAATCTATATTGATTAAAAAGAGTTTCTTTTTCTGTTTTTAATATGGTACTTGAAATATAATATAAACATATATATGTTGTAACATGATATAATATTTATATATATGTATATATAAAAATTAATTATAATATATACATACCACATATGAGAGAATTCTTCTAAGCCGCTCATAGCATGATCTGGGTTAGTAAACACATTGGTATTAATGATGATTATGCCCTTTGACTTTGCTAGCACTGAGGGTTGCCTTGGCACAGCACGCTTGTTCCCAAAGGAGGTTTCAATATACCCAATTGGTTGGAAAGTTATTAAGCCAGTACTATCAGATGTAGATGGTTGGTCTTCAAGACTGTCGTTGATTATTGTTGTTGCTGAAATTATGAATTTGTTTAATGTTTAGTGACTGAACTTTAACCAAATGAAACAGTACCTGCAATATTATTTTATTTTAAAAATTATTCTATTTATTTTTAATATTGATAGAAATAAACAATTAGGTCCTTTTTCTTCATTTAATTTCTTTTTTCATACCCACCAATAAACTCTTTTCATTAGAAATAAAGGCAGTTTTTATAGCATTCACAATTGGCAATGACCATAAAAAGTAAAATACATCCTTATTGGTAATAATTGTCAGAGACAAAATCATTTCAATATGAAGATTAGAGCAAAGAAAAAAAATTGGTTGACCCTGCAGGCCTAACCTGGAACTTCCCGCTAATTTCAAATGCAAAGCGCTCCAAATTTCACCAAATTATGTTGCAAAATCTCGAAGTTATGTTAAAAAATGTTTTTTCTAAATTATTTCTCCTTTAATTTCCAAACGGCATTCGACGTCATTTTTTGAGGTTAAGAGCTGATTAGTTTTTGAAATCTATCGGTAAAGCCGTTTAAAAGTTATACCAAAAAAAACCGTTTATCAAAATTTTTATTTTTGAGATTTCTGAAAATCTACTCTTCCGAATGAGCTCATATTATCACCAAAACTATTTTGTTTTTGCATTGAGATCTTTAGAACACCGCTCATCTATTTGCATCATCAAACTGCATCTCAATCGATCAAGACATTCAAAAGTTATGAAAGGTTTAAACACATGCACACACACACGCGCGCACGCACGCACGCACGCACGCACGCACGCACGCACGCACGCACGCACGCACGCACACACATCCATACAGACGTCCATGTGAAATTAGTCAGAATAGCTTCCTGGGATCTCAAAATGTCGAGATCCGATGAAAAGTCGATTTTCGCAAATCGGGGTGAAACCAATAACTTCCCTATTTTCGAAAATTTTCAATTTTCTTAGTGGGAAGTTAAAAATAATAAGATTTAATTTTAAGGAAGGTTATGCTCCATTAATGAAAGGTATGATTAAAAATTTTGTACAACCGATTCCAATATAAATAAAATGCATTATTAAGGATAACTCAAAAAGCTACTAATCAGATCTTGGTAATTTTATACTTTCGCAGTCCCCTCGTTTTTTGTTCGTTTTAGAAAATTGAAAAATCATCCGATTTCCATGACTTTTTTTAAAACTTTCGTTATTATGGCAGATTTATGAAAAAAAAAAATGGAAAATATCTCACCTGAAGATTTCTTATAGTTTTATGACTTTAAATGTGATCATAAACGCACTTCTTCGAATATAATCATTCATAACTTTTTTGCAAAGCATTAAATGAAGTTTAAGTAATTTTCACAAAAAAACGAACATTTAAAAAAAACATTGAAAAATGTTTGTTTATTAATTTTTTATCTCACTTAAAGTTTTTATATGGTTTTCTGACTTTAAATGTTATCATAAACGCTCTAGAAAATGGAAATAATTATAAAAGTTAATATTTTTGGTGTTTTATTGAGTGTAAGATTGAACGAAGCAAACTCGGGACTTAGGGCATCCCAACTCGGACAGGTTAGGTTAGAAAGACATGCACATCTCCTTCGTGGTTAATTTTTTATAAACCACTCAAAAGTAGGAGCCGTCGACCAGACTTCCCTCGACAGAGCTACGTTAAGTGGCGTCGTGCTTCTCTCCCCCAACTCTCTACCGTAGTGTAAAAAATAAAGATAAAAAAAATTCATTGAAATTGGATGACTTTTCGATTTTCTAGAGCCAAAAACGAGGGGATTGCGATAGTATAAAATTACCCAAATCTTGATCAAATTTATATGGGACCACATGTTTAGCACCAGCTTTCAAATAAAAACATTCTAAGGTGATGCAAAAAATACAGTCAAATTGAGAACATACTCCTTTTTCTTTGCAGTTGGTTGGAAAATAACAAAGAACAATTGCTCTTATACAACAATTAACCATGTAGTGGCAATAAACCTGTAGTAGGGTTGTAAGAATATCCACTATCCCATATCATCACATGGGTGTCTTAAGAGCCGAAAGAGGGAAACGAAACAATAGATGTGAGTGGCAAATATCCCCACTAAGGTGCAATCTATGGGGAAGGCCTATGTACAGCTGTGGACTTTCGACAGGCTGTAATGATGATTGCTCTTAGATAGTGCCATAGGAATTTGAAATATAATAAAATATTATTAAAAATGACTTACCTTTAGCAGCGCACTCGGTACAACGGAGGCCGTTTAAAATGGTCTTTATACCTTTTAATTCTTTAGCATGTTCATGTTTCAAAGCAGACAGTCGCTGCCTAAAACATTGTTGATTTAACTACAATTCTTTATTCATTTACATAAATAATTTCACTACAGAAATTAGCTTTAAAGGTACTTGCCTTAAATTTTTTATTTCTGTTCTTGCTGAAACTATTTGGTTCATGTAATATTCTATGTTTTCAGTCATTGTTACGTATTTAGACAACGCTTTTTATAAACCAAGCATACCTTTTTGATTTTTAAGAAACAAGGTGACACTGGCACACAGTGACACAAACACAAAAACCATCAAAACATCAAAAACAATACAAATCACAGAGTAGGGAGGTTCGATAATCATCGAAATTAAAGACTAAAACATCGATGTTTTAACATCGATCTTCACCATCCTCTTAAAGGTAGCAACAGAAGTCGGTTTCCTGATATGAGGGGGTAATTTATTCCATAGCCTTATGGCCTCAGCGGCGAAAGACTGAGACATAAATTTGGTAAGGACATATATGTAAAAAAACACATAAGGTAGTTCCCTCGGAGGATTGCAGGTTACGATCGTGAAAAGAACCAAAATACTGAAACTTGCATTTCAGGTATTGGGGAGTGCATGGATCATATAGGATTGAAGAAAAGCGTGCGAAGAGTTTTAATACATCTACGCTGATGGATAGGGAGTCATTTAAACTTAGAAGGATAGAAACAGAAAGAGATACTTTTTTATTCAACGTAGATTATAAGCAATACTTATTGAAAGTCACTTTTTTCAGTTACCACTGGTTAGAAAAAAAACCCTCTGTCCTACGAAGAACCAGCAAGAAACCCAGCGGGACTTTTTTTAAATAATAGCTTACAATCATGTTTACAATTAACGACACAAAACAAATTAGAAATAGATTGGTTGCGATCACCCTTCCCAAGGGTTATTATCATCCATAAAGTCCTTAATATTATAATTACTATTTTGATACAAACTTAGTTAAATAAAAATTTTGAATTTCGCGTATGACAAATTTTGTATATTTTCTGGGATTTTGTTGTAAAAGCGTATACATCGCCCTAAGAATGAATTACCGACTCCATGGACTGATATATGGGTGCATGATCGTATTTACGAGGGCCAAAAATAAAACGGATGCAATTATTTAACAAACGCTGCAATTTTCACAGAAGTACTTGACTCACATCAGAGTAACACACATCAGCATTATCAATGACCGGTAAAACAAGTGTTCACACAAATATAGTCTTAGTCTCGGTTGGAAGGAAATTCTTGAAACGATAAAGGCCACACAGTATGATTGTCACTCTCCGGTTTATTTCAGCCACCTGAGATTGCCAACTTAAACTAGCATCAATCATTAACCCAAGGTAATTAACTACATGTCTAAGAGGAATAATTGTGCTATTGTAAACGATAGACTCCAATGAATTAAAATCGAATTTAGCTATACGGCGAGGGCTACCGAGAATTATCGCTTGACATTTAACAGGATTGACAGCAATTCCATAATTTCTGCACCAGTCGCAAATAGCCTCAAGATCTAGATTTAAAATTTCGATCGCGGAGTTAACCTCTGCTGGATCAATCTGAGCGTACAGCTGTAAATAGTCAGCATACAGATGGTAGGAGCATTTGAAATTTACACTTATGAGATTTATGAAAATAGAAAATAATAAAAGAGAAAAAATTCCGCCTGTGGAACGCCAGTAGTAAGATCAGACCAATCAGAGAAAGACTGTTGGTTGACTTTAACTCTTTGCTGGCGACCACGAAGATAAGTTGATAACCAATCCAAAACTGATGAAGACAAATCCGTGTTTACAGATAGCAAGAAGAATGTCATGATTGACTGTACAGAAAGCATTGGAGAAATCAATGAATACGAGAACTGTTAATTTTGACTCCTCCATACCCTGTCGTACATCATCAAGAACTTTAAGGAGAGCAGTGGTTGTACTATGTCCAGGACGAAAACCTGATTATAGGGGACTAAGAAGATTATTTTTATATATGTAGCTGGATAGCTGTTTGTGTGTAGCTGATTCTAAAATCTTTGAAAGAAAGGGACGTACAGAAATTGGTCAAAATGGTTAACAGAACTGGAATTATTTAAATTAGTTAGTTGAAGGACAAATGCTTTAGGCCAAAAAGATAGAAAAAACCCAGTAGAAAAAGAAAAATTGATGATGTGGGTAATGATTGAGAGAATGTTGTCAAGTATTGGGATAATAATATTTCTCCTCACATCATCATAGCCAGCTGCTTTAGATTTAATGAAAAAAAAATAATTTTACGAACATCTTCATCTTCATTCTTTCTATTGCAGAAAAAGCAAATCAGTTTGCGTCGATTTTGGGAAGTGATGAGATAAGAAAAATAGTTCTATGTTTAATGGAGTTATTGACTATAGGTACCAAGGAGAAGTGCTTATTAAGATCATTGAGAGATATTGATGCCATATCAGGGCAATTCTTTTGTCTACCTAACCCAAGGGAATTGAGAAACTTCCAAGTGCCAGCTGGAGAAGAGCTTAAAATATTCTAATGGATATGCAGGCATAATCATCGGCAAAAAATATAACGAATGAACTAGATATTTGTTAAATTTTTCCGAATTTTAATTACTGTTTGACACTATTTTTTTTATTTCATTAATAATAAACCATAAAGAACACCACTTATTTTTTATTCGTTTAATTTTAACCTATTAAAAAAGTGCATATGCAATAATATCGATAATGGCCAACATCGGTGTTTTGAGTAAGATAAACATCGAACATCGATTCTAAGCTATCGATAACAACATGGATGTCATCATCGACGTTTCTGCAACATGGATCATCCCTATCACAGAGTACATTGTATAAACAAGAAAATAGAAATACCATAGATAAGAGTGTATATACGTGGTATATACGGAAAACAAATACTGATAAATACACAGAAACCGTAGACGTAGATACCTACCCCATATATATATATATATATATATACGCATAGATGTATTTTAAATAGCACTCCTCAAAAATGTTAATTATAATGATTTACGTGAACACTGCACATTGATTAAAACTACTTTTACGGATTTTGTCGCGTTTAATTTTAATTTAAATTATTTTTATTTTTAATTCCTCACGTTTCGGGTACTAACCACCCGTGACAATGGGTGCTGGAAAGCATGGGAATTAAAAATAAAAATAATTTAAATTAATATTAAACGCGACAAAATCCGTAATAGTAGTTTTAATCAATATTAATAATTATATAAATAGCACCCCGTAGTTTATGAATAAAAATAGGTAAAGATCGCGCATCTTATAACGTCCTTATTTATTTATTTATTTAACAATTTATGTAAACACGAAATAAATGTTACAATGAAAAATAAAAAGATATTCTGTACAAAGGCACTGCTTATTTCATATTGAAATTTCTTGTTCTTCCAGCAGGCCTGATACTGGACAGATTCAAAGAGAAGCAGATTTAGTGCACTCTCATAAATTTTATAATATACTTAATCTATTTTATTAAACTCTTTGGTTCTAAGGCGTCCCTCTAAATATTAGTATACTCTTTGGCGCGGTCCACAAGGAGACATTTAGAGGATCCAATTAGATCCTTCGGACTTTTAAGGGTTAATATATCTTTTTAGATACCTACAAGTCGGTACTTCTTATAATTTAAAAAACCTGCACCCTGCTTGAATCTAATTCCACCATCGCTAAAAATCCATAAAAAAAATTTATAGGAAAAGGGTGACAAGGGGCCCATAGACATCTACATCTGTACTCGTTTGCGAATCAAAATGAAGATGCGTTGTCAGCCTTGAGGCACAAACTAATAAGAGTACTAACGTACTTGAGGACTAAGATGGAATGCCTCTTTTACAGTAAAAAGGGTCTCCGGTTCTCTACACTTACCATACGAAACACAACAGCATTAAGCTGCTATTTGACGCTGGTATTCTGTGAGAATGTGGTCCTTCCCCGGTCAAGCCGACCCATTCGTGCTAAAACTATACAATTATTATAGCTGCATCATGGCTCTACGCAAAAATGCAATATTAATTGCAAAAAGTTAATAAAACTTAATTTTCAATCGCCGAACTGCACTGCGTCTTGGCGCATGCGCGGTGCAGATATTCTAGGGCAGGAGTGGCGAACCGTTATATATCAATGTGCCATTTTTCTAAAGAAATGTTTAATTAGGTAATAGACGTGCCGTAAAGTAATTTTGACCTCGGGTTTTTTGGGAAAATAATAGTACTAAATACTATCGACTCAAAACTGTCCTAATTCCTGCCCTAATTCAAAAGAGTTTTGATTAGGACATTTATTATTATACACTGCAAAAAAAATTTGCAATGTATAATATAATATTTATAATATAATATAATAATAAATATTTCAGTTATACGCGCAATTCAAATTAAAGTAACTTTAGTGTGACTTCTTTTGTTTTTTTTTTTTTTGGTTATAAAATCATAAATATAACATAAATAAACTTTTAAGTACAGTTGTATCAACGAAATTAACAATTATGCTATGTGTAAATGATTTATGCATTCCTTAGACTTGTGAAGGGCTGAAATTTATTTATTTATTCTGAAAAATATGAACAATACAAATTGTGTTGAATAATTCATGCAAAAATACAATTGAAGAGATTAACAACCAAATTTACAACTATATATAATTACAATAAAAATATAAGACTACAATAATTAGTATACAATTAAATTATATAAAATAGCAATAACTATAAAATTACAATTATATAAAAATTACAAGTCAAATATCACCACTATCAGCAAAATTTAAAAGTATTAAATATCACAAAATAATAATTAGTTATTATTATTAGTCAGAAAAAATACAATTATTTCTTAAAATGTCATCAAAGGTTTAAAAACATTGAATTTTATGTAATAGCATTAGCATGTAGAAACTCGTCAACACTATAATAAATTTGTTCCGGTAGGAACTTTTTTAAAGTATTTTTGAAGCTACTCTTGTATAACATATTTTTTAAATCAATAGGTAATCTATTAAACAGAAGCACTGATTGATAATGAGAAGAGTGTCTAGTCATATTCATAAGAGGGATTTTATTATGAAAGTCTTTTCTCCTGGTGTTTTGTCTTATGATTTTTTGATCTATAGTCTCATATTTGCCAATAACTTTTGCAAATTG